TCCGGAGCCCCAAATCATTGGAAAAACACAGTGTTTCGCGACTTTCCTACCTTTTCGCGCATCTGCATCTTCTTTCTTCTTACTCTTTCTCTTCTACTCTTCTTTTTTCTAATCTTTCTCTTCTCTCTGCCTCTTCCCTGCTCTGCTTTTCATCTGTCCATATTGTCGGAAGTTTGACTTCTAAACTTCCTTCGAAAAAACAATATATTATAATATATTAAAGATGTGTTATAGGCAGACGAGAAGAGGAGTATCAAGACAATATAGCACAAGTACAACACAATAGTTTGCATCGCAAACACTTTTACACACAGAAGCTTTTACACACAGACGCTTTTACACACAAAAGTTTTTTCACACAGAAGCTTTTACACACAGAAGCTTTTACACACAGACACTTTTGCACACAGAAGCTTTTACACACAGGCACTTTTACACACAAACACTTTTACACACAGAATCTTTTACACACAGACGCTTTTACACACAGAAGCTTTTACACACAGACGCTTTTACACACAGACGGCTTTACACACAAACACTTTTACACACAAACACTTTTACACACAGACGCTTTTACACACAGAGGCTTTACACACAGACCCTTTTACACACGGACAACTCGGAAATCGCAATTTTACCTCAGTTTTTGGCGATCGAACCTCATTTCGTGCGAAAGGGTTGCGCGGGACAAGTTGAAATTGCAATTTTACCTCAGTTTTTGGCGATCGAACCTCGTTTCGTGCGAAATGGTTGCGATTGGACCCTTGAAATTGCAATAATTTTACCTCAGTTTTGGTTTTTGGCGATCGAACCTCGTTTCGTGCGAAAGGGTTGCGCGGGACGACTTGGACATCGCAATTGTACTTCAGTTTTTGGCGATCGAACCTCGTTTCGTGCGAAAGGGTTGCGCCGGACAAGTTGGATCGCAATTTTACTTCAGTTTTTGGCGATCGAACCTCATTTCGTGCGAAAGGCTTGCGCCGGACAAGTTGAAATCGCAATTTTAGTTCAGTTTTTGGCGATCGAACTTCATTTCGTGCGAAAGGGTTTGCGCCGGACAAGTTGAATCGCAATTTTACCTCAGTTTTTGGCGATCGAACCTCATTTCGTGCGAAAGAGTTGCGCGGGACAAGTTGAAATTGCAATTTTACCTCAGTTTTTGGCGATCGAACCTCATTTCGTGCGAAAGGGTTGCGTTTCGTGCCGTCTCGTTGGCACTGCCCCTGCCCCCGCCTTCAAGAAAGAAATAGAAAAGAAGGAGAGGGCAAGAGGGCAAGAGGGCAAGAGGGTAAGAGGGTAAGAGGAGAAGATGTGAGGATGAGAAGATGTGAAGATGAGAAGCTGTGAAGATGAGAAGATGTGAAGATGAGAAGATGAGAAGATGAGAAGATGTGAAGATGAGAAGATGTGAAGATGTGAAGATGAGCAGATGAGAAGATCTGAGGATGAGAAGATGTGAAGATGAGAAGATACGAAGAGGAGAAGATGTGAGGATGAGAAGATGTGTGACAGGATGTGAAGATGTGAAGATGAGCAGCTGTGAAGATGATAGGATGTGAAGATGAGAGGATGTGAAGATGTGAAGATGTGAACATGAGAAGATGTGAAGATCTGAGGATGAGAAGATGTGAAGATGTGAAGATACGAAGAGGAGAAGATGTTTTACATGAGGGGATGTGAAGATGTGAAGATGAGAAGATGTGAAGATGTGAGGAAGTGAAGATGGGAAGATGTGAGGATGAGAAGATGTGAAGAGGAGAAGATGGTTTACACACCCCCACTATTGGAAGAACCCTGCGCTCAGACGCTCTCGGGAAAAATACCGTGTTATGAGAAATTACGAAAAGTGTCAAGTGTGAAACTGCTTCCAGCTGAAGCACCTCTGCTGTCACAGCCTCCACTAAATATCGCTGCCAATCCTTTGAAAAGGCTCAGCACAGAACTGGATAGAACTGGTGCTTCATGGTTGCAGGTCATGCCTCAGCGGAGAGGTGAGTCGCTGGTCACTGACACGGCTGCGTGTTGACGAGTGAAGGAGCAAGGTTCCCTTGTGATCCCCTGGCGATCCCCTTGTGATGTACTGGTGATCCCCTGGTGATCCCCTTGTGGTCCGGTAGCTGCTTTTATATGCATTTATCAGCACAGCCAGGTAGTCGACTGGATGATTCCCAAAAATGAACCGCTGAAGTGATGGGAGGCTTTTATTGGGTGGATTCATGACTTGCGGACACTCCAAATCATTACAGTCTCAGTCTCACTGCTCCTCTTCCATCCGGCCAAAATGTTTTTGTCCCAGGAGCCACATGCAAAGATGCTTGCCGCGGATGACCACCGCAAGCAACTGATTGAATCGTTGGGGCCTTCTGATGCCTTCTGGCACTGGAGCCTCCTGCAGCTGTTTGGAGCATTGAAAAAAAGAAAAACTTGAAACGTATGTGAAGGGACAGCTTCACGACACCTATATAGCTATTTTTCCACAACACCTAGTGGTTTGAGACCTCAACTTGCATATTTTTCTTCCACTCATCTCGTTGGTCGTTGGCAGCACAGTCCGGTCGTCCCGGCTACCATGACAGTCCGTGCGTTCATCCCCTGCACACTCCATTTGGAATGCACACCAGAAAGCGCATTCTGATCATTCTGTATAAATTGTATAAGGGCAACGCCAATGCCTACTTCGGCATTGGCAACAAAAAGCCAGCATCGTCTGCGGGCTGGGTTCAAACCTCACGCGACACTCGAAGAGGCCATGCAGTGGCTGCTGCCTTGTCTGGCTTGTTGAGCGGCTCTGTAACGTTATGGATGTCTTCCATATCCTCCTTTTGGAGCTCCGCAACCTCACCAGAAGCCGTCTGACCCGAGGTGCAGCAGTTTCGGAGAGCAGCCAGGCCACTGTACAGCAAGATCACAACAAATCCAATCGCTACAGCAATGAAGGCAAACAGTGCAGTTCTTAGTGGTTTGTGCCAGTCGAACTGCTCATAGATGGGACAGTCCCGCTGGTCCTCGTAGCCCTCGCAGGGTTCGAAAGAACCCCAGCGAAACAGGAACTGCATCAAGGAGAAACCAAGGTACAAAATGCCAGCAAGAATAACCCATCCGCCATTGGAGCATGAGTAGGGCATTCGGCTGATCATGAAACTGATAAACAAAAGCAAGCCATTGATGCCATGATTGTAGACCGTGTAGTAGGTTACATCGTGCTTGCCATCCTCAAGGTCAGACCAAACCATGAGCCAGTAACCCACGGCCACTAACAGTGAGATTGGTTGCCCCACTACAAAGCAAAACATGGTTGTCTTTGAGATCCAAGCCAATGGAATCTCTCCTTTGAAGAATGACCGGGCACACATCCACTCTGTAAGCTGACCCAAGGACTGCACCAATCGGGATTGATGCGTCAAGTAGAAGTAGTACCAAATGCTTTGGCTGGGCTCATCAATGAAGATCGATGTATATTGGTCATACAGCCCGTGAACCACAAAGATCAAAGCCCAAATAGCTCGAAAGCGCACATAGTTCTGCTCGCTCATGTAAGGCGAGGAGAAATTTTTGCGTTCGCAATTGAGAGAAAACCCGGGAACACATGCCATTGCTGCAGCACAGAAAACTATCCAAACACAGAAACACCGCGGGGTTTGACTTGAGCCACATCGTGCAAAATCTCCAAGCTGCAAATGAGCTCGCGCGCCCGCACGCATACATCACATACAAACTATACTAATCTTATCTAATTTTAATGAAACAATATCAGAGGAAGTTTGGTTCGAAAACTTCCGAGTTACGGACGAATGTCCAGGGGCAGTATTGTCATCATCATCATGTCATGATCCTGTCAACAGTTCGGAAGTGTGCGAATTCACCGCATCGGTTTTGAGTCTGCCCATGGCGGCTGACGATCATCAGGCGCAGCTTCGTGCAGCAGTGCCTTTTCGATTAGATGCACATCATGGCATTGTGCATGATGTTGATGGTGACTCTCAAGAGAGGAGACTTGAGGATGATTCTGGGGCTTCAGGCTTGTCAAAAGAATGGAGTACGGGAAAGCTTGCCCGTGAGCGCGGCCTTTCGTGGAGTTCAAGCAAGGCAGCTGGATCCAAAGAATACAAAGCCTTCAAGCTGTTTTCTCCCAAGGATGGTTTTGACACACAAGAAGAGGAGGCTGTGCCACCTCTGACTCAGCCTCGCTCTTCTGGCCATGCAGGAAGCAAGACTCGCCACTAGAATTTGTTTCGACTTCAGAGCCGGAGGGTGACGAACCAGCTATGAAAAAACCAGCCGGCCGCAGCCGCTGAGGCTGTTGAGGCTGTTGAGGCTGTTGAGTCTGAAGTTTCGACAGCTTTGAACTAGACGACGGTTGCCCCGAGAGCGAAAAAGATGTTTTTCAAGCAGCTCCGAGCATGGTAGTCGTAAAAGATAGTCGGTGAATGGTTAGTGAATTTTATATGAGCTATGGAGGGGTAAGGTGTGAAAAGTAAGATTGATTAAGAAGAGGATATTTGGTAAAGGGCATCAGATGACACGTGTCTTGCAACCACAGAGAGAAAGAGGGGGGGAGAGAGAGAGAAGGAAAGGCGGATAGAAAGAAAACATGGAGAAACATAATGTGAGCAACAAAAGTGCACAGGAGGCTCGGTACCATGATGCTGCGAATGACATGTGTTATCTCATTTTACCATGGTAATTCCTACACACATTGCCGAAAAAGCTCAGCACCATCATTCCGTGGATGTGAAGAAACGCGACGTTTTTATACAGAGACGCTTACACACAGACGCTTTTACACACAGCAGCTTTTAAACACAGAAGCTTTTGCACACAGAAGCTTTTACACACATACACTTTTACACACAGACCATTTTACACACAGACGCTTTTACAAACAAACACTTTTACACACAGACCATTTTACACACAGACACTTTTACACACAGAAGCTTTTAAACGCAGAAGCTTTTACACACAGAAGCTTTTACACACAGAGGCTTTTACACACAGACTCCTTTACACACAGACGCTTTACACACAGACGCTTTTACACACAGACGCTTTTACATACAGACCCTTTTACACACAGACCCTTTTACACACAGACGCTTTTACACACAGAAGCTTTTACAGACAGAAGCTTTTACGCACAGAAGCTTTTACACACAGAGGCTTTTACACGCAAGACTCCTTTACACACAGAAGCTTTTACACACAGACGCTTTTACATACAGACCCTTTTACACACAGACCCTTTTACACACAGAAGCTTTTACACACAGACGCTTTTACACACAGAAGCTTTTACACACAGAAGCTTTTACGCACAGAAACTTTTACACACAGAGGCTTTTACACGCAAGACTCCTTTACACACAGACGCTTTTACACACAGACGCTTTTACATACAGACCCTTTTACACACAGACCCTTTCACACACAGAAGCTTTTACACACAGAAGCTTTTACACACAGAAGCTTTTACACACAAGCACTTTCACACACAGAAGCTTTTACACACAAACACATTCACACACAGAGACCGGACCCGTGAAATCGCAATTTTACTTCAGTTTTTGACGTTCAACGTCCATTTCGTGCGAAAGGGTTGCGATGGACTAACTAAAATCGTTATTTTACTTCAGTTTTTGACGTCGAACCTCCATTTCGTGCGAAAAAGCTGCGATGGACTAACTAAAATCGTTATTTTACCTCAGTTTTTGACGTCCAACGTCCATTTCGTGCGAAAGGGTTGCGATGGACTAACTAAAATCGTTATTTTACCTCAGTTTTTGACGTTCAACGTCCATTTCGTGCGAAAAAGTTGCGATGGACTAACTAAAATCGTTATTTTACCTCAGTTTTTGACGTCCAACGTCCATTTCGTGCGAAAGGGTTGCGTTTCGTGGCGCTCCGGCGGCACCGCCCCCGCCTTAAGAGAGAGATAGAAAGAAGAGCGAGAGAAGATGTGAAGGTGTGAAGATGTAGATCTGCAGATGTGAGGGTGTGAAGATGTAGATCAGCAGATGTGAAGGTGTGAAGATGTAGATCTGCAGATGTGAGGGTGTGAAGATGTAGATCAGCAGGTGTGAGGGCGTGAAGATGTAGATCAGAAGATGTGAGGGTGTGAAGATGTAGGTCAGCAGGTGTGAAGGTGTGAAGGTGTGAAGATGTAGATCAGCAGATGTGAAGGTGTGAAGATGTAGATCAGCAGGTGTGAGGGTGTGAAGATGTAGATCAGCAGACGTGAAGGTGTGACGATGTAGATCAGCAGATGTGAAGGTGTGAAGATGTAGATCAGCAGATCTGAGAGTGTGAAGATGTAGATCAGCAGATGTGAAGGTGTGAAGATGTAGATCAGCAAATGTGAAGGTGTGAAGATGTATATGACGGCTGCTTTTTTACGAAGAACCCTTCGCAGGCGCTCTCGGGAAAAAGCCGTAACACTGTGCACAGCTACTAGCAAATCCACCGCAATCCCCTCCCACCCCATGCAACACAAACAAAGTTTCAAAAATGTACATCTTGACTGCCATCATCACACTCACTTCAACTAAAGCAACCGGGCTCCACACATTCCTAGCGCGGGTGCTACCAATCATCCATCCTCAGCCGATGTCCAAAATTTCTGTATTATCATGCTAAACACAAATCAATCCTTGCAGTCACATGCCACCTCAACAGAAAGCAGAACTCAATTTTCAATGCAACCGTTCCATGTCCACGGACAGCCCCTACAGAACATGGAACAATCACAAAACACAATCTCCAAAAAATGCATGCAGGACCATATCCACAGAAGAAAGATGTCGACAGCATTGCTTTAAATGCATATCTGTATCCACTTGAGGCTCCGACCAACCGATTCGCTTCAACACCCACTTGAAGACCGCTCGCACAGAGAACGTGGTTGCAAAAAAACCATACTTGAATCCCACGGGACTGTATGATCCAACTAAAGACAAATCAATCCTCGCAGTCACATACCACCTCAACAGAAAACAGAAATCAATTTTCAATCCGACCATGGCATGTCTCAATCGCAGACTTTTACACACAGACACTTTTGCACACAGACCCTTTTACACACAGACGCTCTTACACACAGACTCCTGCTTTTACACACAGACACTTTTACACACAGACGCTTTTACATACAGACGCTTTTACACACAGACACATTTACACACAGACCATTTTACACACAGACACTTTTACACACAGAAGCTTTTAAACACAGAAGCTTTTACACACAGAAGCTTTTAAACACAGAAGCTTTTACACACAGACTCCTTTACACACAGACCCTTTTACACACAGACTCCTTTACACACAGACACTTTTACACACAGACTCCTTTACACACAGACGCTTTTACACACAGACACTTTTATACACAGACCATTTTACACACACAGACTCCTTTACACACAGAAGCTTTTACACACAGACGCTTTACACAGACGCTTTTACACACAGACGCTTTTACATACAGACCCTTTTACACACAGACCCTTTTACACACAAACGCTTTTACACACAGAAGCTTTTACACACAGAAGCTTTTTCGCACAGAAGCTTTTACACACAGAGGCTTTTACACGCAAGACTCCTTTACACACAGACGCTTTTACACACAGACGTTTTTACATACAGAAGCTTTTACACAAAGAAGCTTGTACGCACAGAAACTTTTACACATAGAGGCTCTTACACGCAAGACTCCTTTACACACAGACGCTTTTACACACAGACGCTTTTACATAAAGACCCTTTTACACACAGACCCTTTCACACACAGAAGCTTATACACACAGAAGCTTTTACACACAGACCCTTTTACACACAGAAGCTTTTACACACAAACACTTTCACACACAGACCATTTTACACACAAACACATTCACACACAGAGACCGGACCCGTGAAATCGCAATTTTACTTCAGTTTTTGACGTTCAATGTCCATTTCGTACGAAAGGGTTGCGATGGGCCAAGTAAAATCGCAATTTTACTTCAGTTTTTGACGTCGAACCTCCATTTCGCGTGTAAGGGTTGCCCGTGACACCTCAAAATCGCAATTTTGCCTCAGTTTTTGACGTCCAACGTCCATTTCGTGCGAAAGGGTTGCGATGGGCCAAGTAATTTTACTTCAGTTTTTGACGTCGAACCTCCATTTCCCGGGTAAGGGTTGCCCGTGATACCTCAAAATCGCAATTTTACTTCAGTTTTTGAATGTTTTTGACGTCCAACGTCCATTTCGTGCGAAAGGGTTGCGATGGACTAACTAAAATCGTTATTTTACCTCAGTTTTTGACGTCCAACGTCCATTTCGTGCGAAAGGGTTGCGATGGGCCAAGTAATTTTACTTCAACGTCGAACCTCCATTTCCCGGGTAAGGGTTGCCCGTGATATCAAAATTTTTACCTCAGTTTTTGACGTCCAACGTCCATTTCGTGCGAAAGGGTTGCGATGGACTAACTAAAATCGTTATTTTACCTCAGTTTTTGACGTCCAACGTCCATTTCGTGCGAAAGGGTTGCGATGGACTAACTAAAATCGTGTTTTTGACGTCCAACGTCCATTTCGTGCGAAAGGGTTGCGTTTCGTGGCGCTCCGGCGGCACCGCCCCCGCCTTAAGAGAGAGATAGAAAGAAGAGC